GCTCTGTTCCCCCAGGAACACCAACTTGAATTTTCTCAGTGGGTTCCCAAAATCTCCCCCTGCAGACATGGTGCCCGGAGAGGAGGAGGAGGAGGGTGAGGAGGATGAGGAGGGGAGAGAGGAGGAGGAGGGTGAGGAGGATGAGGGTGAGGAGGATGAGGAGGAGGAGGGTGAGGAGGAAGAGGAGGAGGGTGAGGAGGGTGAGGAGGAGGAGGGTGAGGAGGAGGAGGATGAGGGTGAGGATGAGGAAGATGAGGAGGAAGAGGAGGAGGGTGAGGATGAGGGTGAGGAGGGTGAGGATGAAGAGGAGGAGGAGGAGGGTGAGGAAGATGAGGAGGAGGAGGGTGAGGAGGAGGAGGGTGAGGAGGATGAGGAAGATGAGGATGATGGTGAGGAGGAGGAGGATAAGGGTGAGGATGAGGAGGAGGAGGGTGAGGAGGAGGAGGGTGAGGATGAGGATGATGACTGCGAGGAGGAGGAGGAGGAGGATGGGGAGGATGAGGGTGAGGAGGAGGAGGAGGGTGAGGATGAGGAAGATGAGGAGCAGGGTGAGGAGGAGGAGGGTGAGGAGGAGGAGGAGGACAAGGATGGACCCGTCAGCTCTCAGGCCAGCCCGCTGGCCCAGCCTCTGGACAGCGCCACCTCCAGCCCTGCCCTCCCCTGCCCCCCTGCGGGCTGCCCCTCCCCACCCTCGGTCCATCCTCAGGCCTCGGCCCCCCCATGCCCAGCTGTGCACACAGTGGGGAGGACTGGGGGGCCCATTCCCTGCCACCCTCACGCCGTGGACTCAGGCCCCAGCTGAGGCTCCCCCATTTCCGAGGCTGGAGCCTGTCCTGCCCCCACCCGTGCAGAGCAGCCGGCCGTGGCTGGCGGGGAGCGCCAGCCTGGGTGGAGGACCGGGAGGAAGCCACAGCAGAGGTTGCTGCCATCCCAGACCCTGTCCGGAAGCTGCCCAGGGCCCTGGCACCGGCTGGGCCTGGAGAGCTGGGGTTCAACATCAGGAGGGTGGAGATGAGCCGTGGCATCAACTCCAGTCTCTCTCAAAGACCCCCCCAGCACCCCGGGCCGTGGGCTCCCATCCCCTCACCCCAGAGCACTGTGGCCGGGGGTGGGAGGATCGCGCTGCTTCTGACACGTGCGCGGTGGCCGGGATGTGGACGTGTCTGAGTCCTCAGCCTGCTGTCTCTCACCCACTGTGCGGCAGCAGTCAGAACCTCCGTGGTGGCATCTGTTTTCAAGGGGGAGCAGAGGAGACCTGGAGAGGCGGACAGCGGGGTGCTGGCTTCCCAGCAAGGGCCGGAAGGCATGTGCCTAGGGAGGGGTGGGGGCCGGGGCCTGGCGGAGCGGGGTCGGCCCTGGGGGGAAGGTTGTGATGCTGGCCCACGTGTGGAGAGTCAGCCCGGAAGCCGTCCTGCTGGGTCAGGGCGTCTTCCCTAAGTGATCCTGGTCTCCTACGGGACGGGGCTGACCTTTCTCCCAAAGCCTCAGTCTTGGGCCATTTTGTGCCGCGTGGTAGGGGTTCTCCGGGTGTTAAGCCGTCAGGAGTGTGGCCAGCACGCTGGATGCGCGGTGTGGGAACAGCAGGGGCGGCGGCTCGAACCTAGGGTGCGGGGCTGGGCTGGACGTTGCGGCCTCCCCTCTGTGTGTGTGGGCCGGCCTACGGAGGCCCTGGGTGTCCACGTGCAACCCCCTCCCCACCGGGCAAGCCACGTGCGCCCCGCGCTGCCAGCGCGTTCAGCCTAAATCAGCACCGCTCTTGGATTATTTCTCCCCTGGCACCGCCTCCGCCACCTCCGGGGATCCTTCTCGGGCTTCTCGGCTCCTCTCCCCTCCCCGCCGAGCCGCTGTCCTCAGCATGCCGCTGTCCATGGTGCTGCGCCGGGCGTGGGGACGGCGGGCGTCCAGGCTGGCCTGGGCGTGGGGACGGGGGGGACGGGGTCTCTGCTCTGTGGACTGGGGGGGGGGAGTGTTGAGGCTGGGATCGCCTCTCCATCCCCAGGAGTGTGTGTCTGGGATGTGGGGGTTGCAGGGCTAGCCCTGCTGTTTCTTTTCTTCCCAGGGCTGGTGCTCAGGGATCTGGGGTCACCCCTGGCTTCAGCTTCCTCCGCGTTGGGACACAAGCTTAAACTCCCCTGAGCCTCAAGCTTGTACCCCACACAGGGCTGTCACAAGGCTGAGCTAGATGGTTTCCCCAAGGTGCGAGGGGTGTGGGTGCCGGCCAGCCGCTGCCCGCGTCCACCAGCGGGCTGCTGAGCATAGCAGAGGTGCAGCCAAGGTGTGGGAGAGAGGGAGGTAGACCAAGGGCCTGGCCAGCCTGCGGGGACAAGAGGGCTTGCAGCTGCGGGGTAGAGAAGGACCTTTGGACCCAGGGAGGTCAGCCCGGTGATCTGCACACGCTCCAGGGCCAGCGTGCTTGACAAGGACGGCCTCCCCAGGGCGCAGCCTCTGGGACCTGGTGATGGGGAGAGCAGGGCCCTCCTCCCGAGGCTCCCGCCTCTGTCCCAGCTTGCTGAGCCCTGCCCTTCAGAAGGAGCCTCAACCGCAAAGGAGACGTGGGCGCCTTTCTTCTGGAATAGGCAGGCCTAGTCCCAGGCCCACGGCAGGGGCTGGGAAGGTCTCGGGAGCCTTTTAAGACACCCCCCCTTGGTGGCTGTGTGAGGCCATGGTCCGTAGCCAGAGGAAGGAAGGGGACCCTCTGAAACTCTGGCATGGGAGACCAGGGACTGGAACATGGGCTCCGGCCCAGCCCGAGTCACCCACAGCCCTGGGAAGGCAGATTCTGCTTTACTTTGGGAACACGAGTAACCCCCAAGTAACCTCCAAGCCAGGTTGAGTGTCAGGCCCCTGTGACCAGCTCTGCCACCGGAGGAGGGAGGTGGCTAGCCAAGGCCACACACTCAACATGGAGCCTTGTGGGGTCCGAAGTGTGGGGCTTGAGCCTGGGAAGGCTAGACTCCCCCTCTCAGAGCCCTGCCTCCTTCCTGCATGCTGTGGAGAGGTGGAAACAAGGAGATCTAACCGGAAAGGGAGACAGATGGCGCAGGCACCATGGGGTCCCATTACCCTCTGTGCGGCCTGCCATCCACGGGCAGGTACCAGACCCAGCCTGGGGGTGGATGGCCCTGCCTGAGGAGACCCCTCTAGCTTCTCAGCCCACGCCTGTCCAACCTTCAGCTCTACCGCTTAGCTGTCTGATCTGATCAGCAATCCACCTGGTGTCCGCCTCCATTTCCTTTTCTGGGTGGTGGGTGCATTTAGCACAGCGCTGCCTGGTGCTCACAGGGGACTGACGGCGGCGCCCACGGTACCCTTTCTCAGGGTGAGTCCTGAGCCTCTGTGGGTGCCACGGTCCTCGGGAGCTGCCACGTGACTCTCAGAGGAGATGCCTGAGCCCCTCCAGGGGGCCAGGGGAAAAGCCAGCGACTGCCGTTGGCCGCTGCCAGGCAGGGTGCATTCGTGCAGCCACGGCGTGTAAGCACGGGCCTGGCCCCTCGCGCGGGGGGCGCCCCGCACCTGGCCGTGGACTCTGTGCGGTCAGGAGGGAGCGGCAGGAGCCGTGGGGGGCGGGAGGGGGGCACACAGCTCTCCATGGCTCCCAGAGACCAGCAGACTCACTTCCTTCTCCCCACCTGTCTACAGAAAGTTCCAGGAAGATGTCCAGCCCGGGTGTCGACGGTGACCCCAAGCCTCCATGCTTGCCTCGAAATGGCCTGGTGAAGCTGCCCGGCCAGCCCAATGGCCTGGGGGCAGCCAGCATCACTAAGGGCACGCCGGCCGCCAAGAACCGCCCCTGCCAGCCGCCCCCCCCCACCCCCCCCCCACCCAGCCTGGCTGCCCCGCTGTCCCGGGCCGCTCTGGCTGGGGGCCCCCCCGCAGAGCGGCCACCACTGGCCACAGATGAGAAGATCCTCAACAGCCTCTTCTGGTACTTCTCAGCATGCGAGAAGTGTGTGCTAGCTCAGGTGTGCAAGGCCTGGCGGCGCGTGCTTTACCAGCCCAAGTTCTGGGCCGGCCTCACACCCGTGCTGCACGCCAAGGAGCTGTACAGCGTGCTGCCCAGCGGGGAGAAGGAGTTCGTGAGCCTGCAGGGCTTCGCCGTGCGAGGCTTCGAGGGCTTCTGCCTGGTCGGTGTCTCTGACCTGGACATCTGTGAGTTCATCGACAACTACGCGCTCTCCAAGAAGGGGGTGAAGGCCATGAGCCTCAAGCGCTCCACCATCACCGACGCTGGCCTAGAGGTGGGTCTACACACCGGCCGGGAGGGCAGGGGGGTGAGCCGCAGACGGCAGCCCTGTGTGTGGGGAGGGACGAGGCCCAGCTCAGATGGGTTAAGGAGAAACAGTGGCTGTGGATGGGGAAGCCCGGCTGCCACATGAGACACCTCACACCAAGCTGAAATCCCTGCTCAAAGACGGGTGGGATTTTCAAGGCAGGAATGATACGGCAGGTGGCTACGGAAGAGGCCGAGATCTGAGGATCAAGTCAAAGCAGCCCAGGCAGACAAATCCTCCAGACTCTCCTATCTCCAGTTAATCAGCAAAAAGCCAGAAATGGAAGCATGGCTCAAGCCGTAGTGTGCCAGCCTTGAAACTGTATGTGTGCTGCTGTGTGTATGTGCGTGTACTGTGTACTGCCGTGTGTATGTGCATGTACTGTGTACTGCTGTGTGTATGTGCGTGTGCTGTGTACTGCCGTGTGCATGTGCATGTACTGTGTGTACTGCTGTATATGGGTAAGTACTGCTGTGTGTGTATTGCTGTGTATGTGTGTGCACTGTGTGTATGTACTGCTGTGTGCATGTGCATGGAGTGTGTGTGTGTGTACTGCTGTATATGTGCATGTATTGCTGTATGTGTATGTGTGTACTGGGGGTTGAACTCAGGGCCTCACACTAATGCAGCTTTTTCTGCTTGTGGATGGTGCTCTATCATTTACTTGAGCTACTTCTGTGTCTGGCTTTCTACTGGTTAACTGGAGGTCTCCCCGTTTTGACTGCGTTGGCTAGCTCCAAACCACAGTCCTCCTATCTCAGCCTCGCCTCGTGAGTGGCTGAGATGACACGCATGAGCCGCAGGCGTCTGGCTTTGAGCTGTAATTCCAGCATTCAAACCAGCTCCGAACTGGGCCTGGCTTCTGGGCCTCTTGTGCTCCCTCTTCTGGAGCATTGTTGAAGTACAGCCCTGCAAGCAGCCCTGCAGACCCCTGCCTCAGGCCTCCCTGCGCCCTGTGGGGGGCGTGGGGCAGGGATGAGCCAACCTGGCGGACCCCTGAACCCTCCCCACCCCCCGCCCCGCAGGTGATGCTGGAGCAGATGCAGGGGGTGGTGCGCCTGGAGCTGTCCGGCTGCAATGACTTCACGGAGGCGGGACTGTGGTCCAGCCTCAGCGCGCGCATCACCTCGCTGAGCGTGAGCGACTGCATCAACGTGGCGGACGACGCCATCGCCGCCATCTCCCAGCTGCTGCCCAACCTGGCCGAGCTGAGCCTGCAGGCCTACCACGTGACGGACACGGCGCTGGCCTACTTCACGGCCCGCCAGGGCCACAGCACGCACACGCTGCGCCTGCTCTCTTGCTGGGAGATCACCAACCACGGCGTGGTCAACGTGGTGCACAGCCTGCCCAACCTCACCTCCCTCAGCCTCTCGGGCTGCTCCAAGGTCACCGACGACGGCGTGGAGCTCGTGGCGGAGAACCTGCGCAAGCTGCGCAGCCTGGACCTCTCTTGGTGTCCACGCATCACGGACATGGCCCTCGAGTACGTGGCCTGCGACCTGCACCGTCTGGAGGAGCTCGTGCTCGACAGGTGTGCGCTGGGGCCAGGCTGGGGGGTGGGGTGCGGGGAGCGTGTCGAGCCGGGAGCCCGGGCCTGGGTACCACCGTCCAGTGTAGAACTCCGAGTAGCTGGTCGGCTAAACCCCATCTTGGGGAAGGAGGGAGGCAGCTTGCAGGGCTTGGTCCCTGTGAGGGAAGAGGGGTGGGCACCAGTGGCTCTCTGGGAAAGGGGGTGGAGGGAGGGATACCAAGTCGGGCAGTTCTCCCCTGGCCCAACCACAGGTGTGTTCGCATCACCGACACCGGCCTCAGCTATCTGTCCACCATGTCGTCCCTCCGAAGCCTTTACCTGCGATGGTGCTGCCAGGTATGGGGGTCGGGGCCAGGCGGCAGGGTGGGGGATGCGGGCAGACAGCCCCCAGTCCCGGCCCTGCTCCCACACATCCCCCAAGGGCCCAGTCCTAACTCACGGGGGGCTGGGGAGTCTCACCCAGGGCCCGCCTCCTCCCCTCCAGCAGCCCCGCTCACTCACTCCCGCCCTCCCCAGGTGCAGGACTTCGGGCTGAAGCACCTCTTGGCTATGAGGAGTTTGCGTCTCTTGTCTCTGGCAGGTGAGACTCAAAGTGGCCCCCGCCCTCGGCCTCGTTGGGGCCCAGCTTCACACCAGGGTGATGGTGATGGCTTGCCTTGTCCCAGGTCCCAGTTAGAGGCAGGCTTTGGGGCGTCCAGGTGGGTCCCGCATACGCAGCCCCTGAGCCTGCCCCCGGGGACACCTGCACACCACTGGCCCTGTGCGTGCCCTGCCCCTCACACACACCCTCTGCAGCTTGGTGCTGAGCGGCTCCTCTGCTCCCACCGGCTGCAGGCTGCCCGCTGCTGACCACCGCAGGGCTGTCTGGCCTGGTGCAGCTGCAGGAGCTGGAGGAACTGGAGCTGACCAACTGCCCTGGGGCCACACCTGAACTCTTCAAGTACTTCTCCCAACACTTGCCCCGCTGCCTCGTGATCGAGTAGCCCCCGGGGATGCGGCGCACCGTCCAGCCTCTCTCCCAACGCCGCTGGTCCCGCACCTGGCTTGGTGGGGGAGGCGGGCTGAGCCAGGGATGCCCTGCGCCTCCCCCACCCCTCAGCGCCTCTCCCAGCCCCATTCGGGGCAGGGGGTGGCGGACCCAGCCCCACGCACGCACGCACACACACACACACACACTCGGGGACTTTGTGCATGCCCCTCGTGCCCGCACTGCACGCCCGCCTTCCACCATGCCACAGCCGCCGCCACCACTGCCCGCTTCGGCGGGGCGGGGGCATGGCCCTGGGGTGGGGCGGTGTAGCCCGTACCGCCTCCCCCCCACACCCTGCTTCCTGCTGCTCCTCCTTTCCCCCCATCCCGGGCAGGGCCCAGGAGGATGGGGTCTGGGTCTCCTGGGGTCAGAGGTCTACATGAGCCCCAAGGGCTGCCCGCATCTTCCACCGAGCCACACCTGGAGTCCTACCAGGGCGTTGTGAGGTGACACAGGCCACTGCCAAAGCCATGGTCCATGCCCCTTCCTTGGCTGCCCAACCCGAGCGGCCTCCACACCCCTGCCCTCAGCACTGTGTAGGTCAGCCCCTCTCCACTCCCCCCCGCACTGGCCTACGAAGCACTGGACACTGGCCAGGCTGGGACAGCATCGGACGATGGTGGCCCTGGAAGGGTCAACATTCATCCAGCAGGCCCCCGTCCAGACCTGCACCCACGGGACAGTCATCCAAGAAGACAAGCCGGAAATGTCCTGGAATAGCCAGCCAGGTGCCACGCCTGGCCGCCCGGCACCAGCTGGGCTCAGGCCTCAGCAGTGCACTGCATGTGCCAGGTTAGGTCTCAGGTGGAATCTGCAGAGGGGCCTGGCCAAGGGTCAGGTTGGCACTGATCTTCCAGTCCCCAGCACCCTGCACCCCCTCTTACCCCCCCCATGAGCTCTGACATCTGCAAGTCCAGGGGATGCTGGCACACCGTGCATTGCTGAGGAGGGGGCAGGGACCCCTTCCAACCCAACCCTGAACCCCAGGAGATAATATGCCCACACTCAATCTTGGGACACCCCTATCTGGTTGGAAGAGAGTAACCAGAGAGCCAGAGACTGACAGGGGGGAGGGAGGAGAGAGAAAGAAAAGAAAAGAGAGAGAGAGAGAGAGAGATTGGATGGTGGTGAAGTGAAGGGCAGGCTGGGGCTGAAGTGGTGTGGAACCCGCTCTTCAGCCCTTCTCCCACAGCCCCTGACAGGGAGGGGCAGCTGTCTTATTTGCCCAAAGTATTAATGCAACTGAAGCTGTGACACTTCCAATGACTGTCGAGGAAAATTCAAGGGGAGAGAGGAAAACACCACCAACCAACCCCTAAAGTCATTTTCTTACTGTACATAACGACCTCATTCTCCTGTATATGCGGAAGATATAACCTTATATTTGGTAAGTGTTTCTTGTGCTATTTTATCACGTGACCTGTTTATAAAAATATATATTAAAAAGTCGTAAAAACGAGAGCGCCATTGCTTCCGGCCCCGGCCCCTCCTCTGCTTTCCCATCCCGCGGCCTGGCCTGGGCTCTGGGCTCGGGGCTCGGCCCGGGGCTGCTTCTGCTCCCGGCGGGCGCCCTCCCGGCCTCGGGTCTGTGGAGCCGAGGCCCCGGCCCCGGGCTCACGCACGGGC